TGCAGCCCTCACAGCTGAGCCTGCTCCGTCCTCACCGGCCTGCCTTTGAGGTGTGCAGGATGTGAGGATGGGGGTCTCTCTCTCTCTCTCTCTCTCTCTCTCTCTTTCTGTCTCTCTGCCCCACACACATGGTGTGCTGGCAAAGGAGCCATCTGTCAGCTTTTCCCTCCACCAGAGCTCCCTGCTCAAGCACACAGGGCTGGAGCAGGTAAGCCATTTGTCCAGATCCAGTCTTTCCACAGAGACAGAATGGCCTTAAAGTTATAACTACAAGAAAAAAAAGAAGAATGTAAACTGTTTACTATGATGTTTCATTTCTACAAATGCTAAATTTTAAAAAAATTGATCTCTCAAAAATTATGTATGCTTGTTTTGTTAAAAAGTTCTATCTGTATTTTGTCATAATATAAGTTTTATTACAAGCATAGAGCTAAAACAAAAGTGGTTCAGGTTGCCACCATTTTACAGTCAGTCACATGCCAAGCTGGCCACATGGCTGGCTGGTAGCCATTTTACTAAAGTTAAAAGAGATACCTGATCCACCATCTTAACTAAAGGTGACCACATGGAAGTTATGAGGTACCATCCTATCAACAAGTTTTTATTCAGATTTAAAATGTTAATGCTTTTATACACAGGAATGCTAAGTTTTATAATTTAACAGTCACCCAGATAATAATGGTTTTAAAGGCCTAAAATATATTTTAATTTTCAATAAAAAAACATTAATGGATTTCAGAACAGTTTTTAAAATGTTTTCAATTTATAAGGTTATAAGATATTTATACTGATAAAATGTTTAAAGCTAAACCTGACAGTATAAAGTTCTAGTTTTATAAAGGTTAATAAAGTTTATACTTTCAATAGTTAAGCTTAAGACAGACAAACCTCTAATACTTCAGAGATCTGAAGTGCATGGCATTTAAAATGTTAATTTAAAAGATTATAATATCAGACAGACTGCCAGATCCTAACAGTGACCCAAAGTCTCCAAAGAAGATTACGAGGCACCCCGGTCCCTACACCTGGATTGTGTTGACGCTGACCAGTGAGCAAGATGCTCAGGGGTGACACCTGCTGCTGCCAGGACCTGGCCCAGAATGTGGACAAAGCTGCTGGACACTGGAAAATTGATTGCACCCCTTTTGCCGAGACAAAACAAGGTCAGTCTTTTCCATGTCCCTCTTCCACAGAGAGGAAGAAAACTCACCTTACAGGCCTGGTAGAGATTGATGCTGTTCCTGATACTTGTGCCTCCAGTGCTAATAGAGGAGACTTGGGTATGGCTGTATATGGACTGGTACCTGGCACTTTTTAACAAATTCAGAGACTGTATAAAATTTATCCTTCTCAGATCTCTAAAAGTATTAATGGTTGTCAGCTTGACATCAGGCAGCCAAATCCACAAGACTATAGTCAGCTTGGTAGCTACATTTTATTTATGTAAAAATCAAGCCTTAATATGTCTCAATAAGAACCAAAGGATGTAAAAACTTGTTCAATCACAAGCTCAAGGTTTTTAGGTTTATTTTGGTTATAAACTTACAGGGCTTCATCAGGCCAAAGATACCTCTGTCCAATTCATACTTGGCTCCCTGGACAGAAGACAAAAGTACACTACTAACCCAAATCTATAGTTTCTGCTAGGACACAAAATACAGATACCCAGATATCTGCTTTTTCTACAATGTAGATTTCTGTACCAATTGATAATGCTAATGTACCTATAACCTTTATGTCCTTTTGTATAACAAAATTTACATAGGCTTCAGAGGATCAAAAGTCATACAGCTTGGATCCACTTCTCACAGGTCAAAGAGGACTCCAGATAAGTACAGCCAGTTATCCAACCTGTCTGTTCCTGAGAATGTGATTTTCTCTCCTGGTCATGGGATTCCTGACCTTCCTGATCACTAATACTATGTGTCTAAAGAGTTCCAATTAAATACATAAGTTTTAACTTCTGTTCCCAGTTTTAAACATGGCTTAAACAGGTTTCCACTTCTGGCAAACACATCTGAACATCAGTTGCTGACCACAGCCTGCTCCTAGAGACTCTGAGCCCTAGACTTGCTGTGGATGTGAACCAGTTCAGCTGATGTGGACACCCACTGTCTGTTCAACACAGTCTGCCAATCAGCTGCTCCTGGATAGATTCCCCATTGCCTAAATTCCCTTTTTGCTTTTGACTTGCATTTCAGCCTTCTTTGGTCCCCTAACTGCGCCCCACAGTCAGCAAGAAGTAGGATGGAAAGGAATACATCACCCTCTTTCCCCTGGTTGAGATGCTAAGTCAAAAGAAAAAAATTCCCTTACATAGGGTACAGTATAATAAGAGAGGGAGACATATGTGCCACTTTCAAAGAGGAATGTTGTTTTTTTGCAGACAAGACTGGGGTAGTAAGCAAAACTCTGGATAACCTCAAGGAGAGGCTGACTGTTCGTCAGAAAAATTTAAATCCCAACAATACTGGTATGAGGGTTGGTTTAACAAATCCCCCTGGTTCGCTGCACTAGTCTCTACTCTCATGGGCCTCCTAATCTTTGGGCCCTGCATTGTCAAACAATAATTCAAGCCTTACTCCTAACTCAACAATACCATGCCCTCAAACAGACGGAACCATAAGTAAACCTTAATTAGAGAGGGCTGGACAATAGGTATAAGATTCTACCTATACACAAGAACAAGGGGGGAATGAAAAACCCCTACCCAGGACCCCCTAGGAAAAGAAAAGCAAGGCCAGGCTGCTGCCTAATGAAAAAAACCCAGACCAGGTGTCTCACCCTCAAAACAGGATGTCTGTGATCACTATAGCAGTCATGGGACCCGGATAATAATTGCTGAAGCGTGCCAGGGTCTTTTATGTGGCAATTCCAGGACGCCTAGTCCTTGGCAACTACCCCTGCCCCCAGTTGTGTCTATGATCACCATAGTAGTCATGGGACCCAGATAATAATTGCTGAAACATGCTGGGATCTTTCATGAGGTAATACCCGGAAACTTAGTCCGTGGGTTCCACCCCTGCCCCCAAGATGAGCCAATGAAATGCCTGTTACTTATGTAACCATTAAAACTCTCCAAATATTGTACTCCCTACAAGCCCGGTATGCTCTGCACCTGAGATGCAGTAGCATCCGCAGGTGCCTGTGTACTCAATAGATCACCTCTTGCATTTGCATCCAGTGGTCTGGCCCCGGTTCTTGGGCAGAGGGTTCGGTACAGTGCCTGGCGCTTTGATGCCGAGGTCTTTCAATTGAAAATGTGCTGACTTCCCTGTCAACATTTTGTGTCTTACAGGATTGGTGAAGGGAATTCCTTCTGTGTCTTCCCATTATGGAGAATTGGGTTTTACACAATAATCCCACTCTCAAAGGAACCACAGATGTCTAACAAAGCACCCACAGCAGCCTGGTTTCATATTGTTGTTCACTGCTGTCCTGAGATTTCCAAAACAGTACAGTCTACTCTGCTCGTCCACTTTTCCTCTGAAGAGTAGCATGTGAGTCCCTACTACTGAAGAAGCCATGTTTTTCAGTCACAGCCAGGAGGCTTGAGAGGGACTTGAATTTAAAACCTTCTCTGTGGGGACTAGCTTTCCTTTTGTCATAAAGCAACATGCAAGCTTTTAAAGGAGCTAGACAACAGTCCTACCCTGCTGTGAAAAGTATGAACTGTAACCGTGATCTACACTGCACGATAACACATAGTGTGCAAGAGTGGCACACATACACTGGTTGTAAACAACAGCTTGATATGGGACTTAAGGACTGCTCAACAATAGGGGAATAATGACTGCTTCTGGAAACCTAGCCTGTTTCTGGGAGTCAGGGAAAAATGGACCTTGAAGGAGAACCTAAAATCACTATGAATGACGCACATGCCTATTCACATAAAATTGATTTGCCTCCTAAGATCAATTCTCAGGTAGAAAGACTTCTAAGAGCTATAAAAGGTTAAGTCTGAGATCGTTGTCAGTGGATGTCTCTAGAATTATTTCTAATGAAATAGACTGTGGCAAAACTGAAATTGACTCATGGGATCTTTAGCTGCTGTCTCCTCTCTTTCTGTTTTCCAGGGCTCTTCGTCTCCACAGGTGAGAAGGTCTGGGTGATCAGTGAACCCTGCACTTGAGAAGGAGATCATCTAGAAAGTACCTAGATTTCCGCTGGGCGGTGGTGGTGCATGCCTTTAATCCCAGCACTCGGGAGACAGAGGCAGGCAGATCTCTGTGAGTTCGAGGCTGGGCTGGACCGATAGCCTCCGAAACAATACAGAGAAACCCTGTCTCGTAAAAACCAAAAAAAAAAGTACCTAGATTTCCAGCTCAGTACTCTATTCAGTAGATAAAGATTCTACAAGTGATTCCCCATTGTCATGCAGAGTCAGAATAATGAAAATACCAGAAAGCATTTACAGGGAGTGCAGCTTGAATGCCAATTTGAATCATTTCCCAATCAAATCTCAAGAGCAGAAGGGAACTGAATGATTTGGATCACAAAAGCACACAGAAATATTTTAAAGAATTTATCATGGGCCAAATTTGTTGAAAGTCTTAAACCTGACAAAGGGAAATACACTTAAGAAGTAATTCTCCAAGAAACTGTTAGGAGGAGCAAACAAGCTGTTGTCACCCACAGAAACCAGACTGCTGCAACCCTATAACATCATTTCCAAGTACAAACTCCTGTAAACAGGCTGCAGGCATTGACCCTCCTGTAAAATGTTCACAGTTACACCGAGGGCTAACAGAGCACAATATAAAACACAACAGGTTTTGTGTACAGACTCCTAATTACTTCTACTGGATCCTCAGGTCAAAAGGGTAAGAACCTGTGTCTAGCAATCCTCAGGCTGAATGGGGTGAGCTGGTCCCTCTTCCTGGCTTACATATCTCTCTCTGCCCACCCAGATCACTTTTTGTGGCTCCAAAGGATGCCGTAACGATAATCGACACTATTACTGAAAGTAAAACTAAGTATTTATTGTAGAAATTACTCACAAGATATCAAACAAGTAACCCAGATGAGCCAAGTAGTTTTCCACTGCCGAACCGGAAGCCGAACTCTGGGAAAAGAGACCGAGACTTCCTGTGTGCTGTCTTTTATGCCTTCCCCTGTAACGCTCCCTAGCCATGCCCAAAAGTGGGCCTGGCTAGTGACGTAGTTCACCGCCTACGTACGTATACGTCTTTAGTCATGCCTAAAGTGGGTGTGGTTAGGGGTGTGGTAAACCGCCCTTTTATTACCTCATCTGTGTGCGCCTCTAGTAAGTCACATGGTTAATGGCAGCATACAGACTTCCTCCTACAACTTCTTGTCTCCCCGTCCCCAGTGAGGGGAATAAAGGTGTGAGCTCAGTTTCTCTTTAGAATGCTTCAGTCTGTTGTGGTGCATGGTGGACTTGAACACCTGACATTCCTATTGCCCCATTTGTATTGCTGGGATTAAAGGTGTGTGTCACTACTGCCTGCCCTCTATGGCTATCTAGAGGCTAGCTGTGCACCCTGATCCCCAGGAAATCTTTATTTGTTAGAGCATAAACAAAATATCACAAGGTGGAGCAGTCGTTTTGGTGTACACATTTAATCCTAGTACTTTGGAGAAACAGAGTGAGGAACTCTGTGAGATCCAGTTCAGTGTGTGCAACATGGTGAGTCCTGGGGAATACAGAGCAACACTGTGAGCTCAGGTCTCAAACACAGCAAGCACAAGAACCAAAAATAAGTGGGGTCATATGTCCATGGACAGTGTGCTTAGCTTGGATCAATCTACAAAAGACTCTTGTAGATATTTTTCTGATATAGATGAGTTGTCACAATTCTTTAAAAGATGCTTTTTAATTTCATCCTGTATTATAATACGTTCTCTTTTTTCTTCCCTCACACCCTTGGGACATGGTTTCTCTATGTAATCTCAGATATCCTTAAACTCTCACTGTAGACCAGGTTGGCACAAATCTCCAAGATCCACCAGCCTCTGTTTTCCAAATGCTGAGATTATTGCCTAGTGCCAACAATACCTATTTATAATGACTTTTCTAACTGAGAAAGTAATGCGATCTGAATGCAATACTGTGCTTTTCCATGATCTAAGTTGCCACACTGAGACGTCAGCACAAAAACACACATTTGTTTTTCTTTACTTTTTTATCTGATACAGCATCTCATAATGAAGCCCTGGATGTAGATGAATCCTCTTTTGAGACCAGGCTGCCTATAACATGCTCTGGTTTACCTGTCTTTGCCTGCCCAGTGGTGGGATTATAGCTGTTTGCTACCAAGCTGTCGAAGACACTTTTCAGAATACAAAATTAAATAACAATGTCTCAGATGGAAAATTAATGGTGGTAAAGAATTTCACTTTTAAATGTCACTGTGTACCACCTTACTTGTGGAGCTCACAAAAACTCTATTTTGGACTCGATTATATTTATAGATTTGGAATGCAAGTGCCTAGTTTTATGTGCTACTGTTTTGAATAGGGAAGTGGTTTAACATGGGATTGAGTGTGAATGAAAGTAAACTTCAAGCATGTTGATCTTTCTACCAAAGCAAAGAGAACTGTTTGGAAACATCAACACATAAATTCAAATATTATACTACATTATACTGGCTCATACAATCTCACATTTGTGGATAAGAGTTAGACAACCATATCAGAAATTCAGAGAAATTTCACAGCAAAGAAACAAATCACACTCCTGGTCCCTTCCCTCTTGTGTCCCATGCCAGATGTTCCTGCAGTTGTGCAGTTACTGGTGACTTTCCCTTGACTCCAGACTGGAAACCTGTGGTTGTGGGTTGATTTCAAGTGAGTATCTGGCCTTTTCCTCAACACCTAGGTCTGCACCACGTTATTCCCCACCTGGCAGGCCTGGAAGTTCTACCTGGGACCTGGTCATTGATATCTATCTCTTTGGCTCCATAGTACAACTTCACGTCCTAAATCATTTGGTGTCAGAGGCCAATCACTGAGATTCCTCTAACTTCTTCCAATCTGATGTCTTCCCACCTTCCCCTCCCACCTTCTATTTGCAGTGGTCTCCACAGTCATCATCAGATAGTGCACAGAAATTCTTGTACAAGGTACCCACACATTAAAACTAATTAACACATTTACTTTTGTGGAATTTTATTTCAATATGAACTCTTTGTTAGTTTTTAAGTTTAAACTTCAATAAAAGCTTTCAAAAGTTCCTTAACTTTATGTTTCCAGTATGTATACCTAGGACTTGTAAGTCAATAATATTGTATAAATGCTATTCCCCATGATTTGCAATGGTGATTTCTGTCCAGGATAAACTCTCGGATATCTTCGAAGATTTGCAATGTTGATATAAGATATACTACAGTCTTAACATTTGTGAAGTTTCTGATATGAATATTCTGATGTGCTCTAAGATATGAGCAGCTACTAAACATCTTCTTAAATTTCTTATATCTGTAATACCTCTCTCCAGTGTGAACTCTCTGATGTGTTCTAGGATTTTTCATGTAGTCAAAGGATTTGTTACATTCCTTGCATCTGTAAATTCTCTCTCCAGTGTGAGCTCTCTGATGTATTCTAAGATTTTTCATGCAGGCAATGGGTTTGTCACATTCAAGACATTTTAAGGTTTCTCTAAGAATGGACCCTCAGATGTGTACTAGATTTTTCCTGGAGGGAAAGGATTTGTTTCATTTTGGACATGTGTAAGGTTAAATTTCAGTATGGCCTTGCTAATGTTTAAGATTTAAACTCTAGATAAAGGGCATGTCACATTCTCTACATTTGGAAGGTTTCTAAATAGAATGAATTTTCTAATGATTTTTAAGATATGTGCATTTGGCAAAAGATTTGTCACATTCTCCACATTTGTAAGATTTCTCTCCAGTGTGAATTTTCTGATGTTCTCCAAGATATGTGGATGCAGTGAAAGTTTTGTCACATTCCTGGCATTTGTAAGGCTTTTCTCCTATGTGAATTCTTTGATGCTGTGCAAGAGTTGACCTTGCAGTAAAGGATTTTTCACAGTCCTTACATATGTAAGGCTTTTCTCCTGTGTGAATTCTTTGATGCTCTATAAGAGCTGGTCTCACAGTAAAGGATTTGTCACAGTCCTCACAAGTGTAAGGCATTTTTCCATTATGAATTCTCTGATGCTGTGTAAGCTTTGACTTTGTAACAAAGGATTTGTCACAATCCTTACATCTGTAAGGCTTTTCTCCTGTATGAATTCTCTGATGCACTGTAAGAGTTGTTTTCATAGTAAAGGATTTGTCACAGTCTTTACATTTGTAAGGCTTCTCTCCTGTATGGATATTCTGATGCAGTATAAGGTAGAACCTCACATTAAAGGATTTGTCACAGTCCTTACATTTATAAGGCTTTTCTCCACTATGAATTCTCCGATGCTGTGCAAGTTTAGACTTCATAATAAAGGACTTGTCACAATCCTTACATGTGTGAGGCTTTTCTCCTGTGTGTATTCTCAGATGCAGGTTAAGACTTGACCTTGTAGTGAAGGATTTGGCACAGGCCTCACATTTGTAAGGCTTCTTTCCTGTATGAATTCTCTTATGTATTGTAAGATTTGAACTCACATTGAAGGACTTGTTACAGTCCTTACATGTGTAAGGCTTCTCTCCGGTATGAATTCTCTCATGTTTTGTAAGACTTGACTTCATTGTAAAGGACTTATCAAAGTCCTTACATGTGTAAGGCTTCTCTCCTGTATGAATTCTGTGATGTACAATCAGGTATGAGGCAGTACTGAAGCATTTCTTACATTTCCCACACTGGTATGGTTTCTCCCTAGTGGAGACTGGTTTTTTAAGAAGACTATAAGTATTCTCAGAACACTGATCATATTCTCCCTGCCTGGGCACTTTCTTTGCAGTGTACGGTCTCTGATGTTGAGTAAAGTTTGAACACAATTTAAGGATTTCACATGGTCTTGAGATTGGCAAGATTCTTCTCCAGTGTGCATGCTCTCATGTCTATCTGGTTTTTTATCATCAATAGAGGCATCCCCAGGATACTGCATCTATGGTCATTAGAGGTCTCTGTAGTTTCACTTATTTGATAAAGTGCACATGTGGGGGGTCATGAAGAATTTTCCCAAACTGATTACACTGATAAGACTTGCCATGTGGATGGACAGGATCACAGATGTAAAAGTTCTCTGGAAAAGAAGTAAGGTCATATTAGTAGGGATTGTTCCAAGATAAAACATCTGATAAATGACTGGCTCTCTATGTTTTAACTTAAAATAAGTCAACCTACAACTACTTAGACACTGTTGTTACCTATAATTGAATGTGTTATCACAAAATCAGACTGACATTCTGCAATGTTTGTGAATCATAACAGATATCTCATCCGTATTTAAAATGTCTAATGGCACAAGACGGATCATGAAAGTGAAGAGTCAAAATCAGCTTTGGGATTCAGATCATTGACTCACTAAATTTATCATACATGCCCCCATTAAACAATTATTCACAGAAATTGATGAAGAAGAGTTTAATTTAATTCCAAGCTCACAGTACTCATTCTTATTAAGGGGTAGGCAATGAAAAGTTGTGTCCAAAATACCAAATACCTTAAAAGATTAAAGTCTTACTTAAGTGCATCACATGGTTTATTTTTGTCTTAGGAAAACTCATTAGATTCTGTAAAAGTAATATAAGGAAGGACACTATTCTGCCAAACATAGAGGCTGTCAAAAGCAGCTATTTCTTATTTCTATTATCCATTGTCTGTGATCCACATCACACTGTGTTTCTTGGCTTTCCTCATAGGTATATTCTTAATTCTAATCTGTACACCAGCTCCTGAGAGTATTTTCCAAAAGGATGTCTATTTAACCTCTACTGGAAATAAAATATGGATTTGATATTAAGACACACATTGAGGAAGACAATTAAAGAATAACCCTATTTCAGGCACCCATATTAGAGTCACAATTTGCAAAAATGTTTAATCTGGTGTCAAGGTCATTAAATCAAATTACATATTGTACTATAATAATCATTATAATTCAGGTGCTTTAGGCTCCTGTTG